ATTCTTTTTAAAAATATTATACCGGCAGTACTTTTTTAAAAAAATATTTATTAACAGCTTGATATTTTTGAAGAAAAAAATATTACCAGAAATAAAAATTTTGTCAGCATTAAATAACCCATTGAGGTTGATATGCCGTAAAACAAACTCAACCCAACCAAACCAAAACAAACAATAGGGTCCTGCAAAAAGATAAATAAATAGAGAGAGGAACATAGTGATATACCTTAATATTATATATATATATATATATATATATATATATATATATATATATATATAGAGAGATAGATAGATATATATATATATATATATATATATATATATATATATATATATATATATATATATATGTGTGTGTGTTATGAAAAACTTGTTAATCCGTTTGGGTAGTCCCAATGAGGATGAAACCTGAGAGCTCAATGTAAATCCAAAGTTTATATTTTAAAGAAAATCAGTGAAATAAATTAATATAATGGAACCTTAAAGTGGTCTGTTTTTTATATATATATATATATATATATATATATATATATATATATATATATAGTTTAGAAATCAGTTGGTTAATTAAACTTAAAACCTCTACATGTTATTTTTAATTTTACTTAATTGTCTCACGTGTATTGAACTCTTTTTAATTCTACTGTTCCCTAGTCTGATTCTATTCTGACCATTAACCCTTATTTGTATATTATAATCAATTATATATATATTATAATAGATAATATAAAAACGGGGTAGAGAAAGAAATAAACAAACTCAGACAGATATGCAGAAAGGAAAGGCAAACAGTACAAACATTTCGAATCTTGTTATGTCTTCATCTCATGTGGCATTTTATTAGTGAATAACCTTATAGGCGTTGCAATAAGTTGCTTATCTTCTGTGAGTTTGAATGGAAAGACGATGTTTTTTTTAGTGAGAAATGCAAATGTATGGTTACAAAGGAAGGAATAATATAAGGTCAAGTCCTATTTCGGAATACAAGAGTAGGAATTCGTGAGGAAGTATAATCGTCTACGTACTGGGTTGTGGGGGGACACTGCGCATCAATGAAGAATGTGAATGTGCCTATGTTTTCGTTTCATGCGAACCGTGTTAAAGTGTTTGTTTATGCCAGCGATGAAAAGAATTCAAAATGAACTTTTATATAATGCAACTAAGTTCCTATTACATAATCAGGTTCCCTGTTGCTTGCAATGAGCTCAGTTTCTATCGTATCTCTTCAATGAAAAAAAAAGCCTCAAACACCATCGTTCCATTCAAACTGAAAGCAGAAACGGAGTTCCTGCATTATTTTCCCGCTTCGAAGATATGCAACCTGTTGCAAAGCCTACAAGGTTATTGTCTCACATACACGCACTCGGAAAAAAGAACGAATGAAAGAAAGAAAAGGCGAGAAAAAAAGGGTCTTAACCGAAACTTCTAACTGAGAATTAGATACGTGATTCTACAGAAGGATAATGAGAATACCATAGACTCTACATGTAAATAACGAGGAAGTTTTAACGAAAATTGAAAAATAAATCACATATATATAAAATCAGATAAAAAAAAGTTGAAATTTCTGGGACACATAATGAAAAAAGAGTGTTTAGAATATTTGGCACTCGCAGGATATAATCAAGAAAAGAGAAACACAGAAGAGCCAGTAACCTCCATAACAATCTGGTTTAAATGTATAGCAGCATAAGAATGGGGTGGATAATAAAAAAAAACAAAACATTGCTATTGTCTACGAAGGATAGGAAGCTGTGGCGAAACATGATCGCCCACATCCTAAAGTGTCATGGCACATAGAAGTGTTAGATTTAATCTGAATCTTTTTAACCAATGAAAACCTACCGTAAAATATAGGTGGATAAAGAAAGATAGTTATTCAAGCGTTAAAGTACATTTGTGAATTTTGGATTCTTAGGCAGAACGAATTCTTATTTTGTTCTTACTATTTCCCAATAAATACGTTACATTCACACAAATGCCAGTGGGGAAGCTATGAATCAATATATTATCCCTCAAGCTATGGGTTAAATATTAGAACTTATATCTGTAAAAATCAATGTTATATTCAGAAAAATTCTAATGCAATATTCACACAAAAAAAAGAATTATTTTTTATCCAAAATGTTTCGATACAACGAAGAGAAAATCAAATCAGCGAAGCAATAATAACAAAAATAAATATAACAAATTATAAGCAATATATATATATATATATATATATATATATATATATATATGTGTGTGTGTGTGTGTGTGTGTGTGTGTGTGTGTGTGTGTGTGTGTTGGGGGTGCAAAATAGATAGGTTAATTAACAAAACATGGACAAACGAAAGGGTAATAATATATCAGTATTAAAGATAAACAAGTACATATAAATAAAATAGCAATAATTAAAAATAAACAAATGCATATAAATAAAATAGATATAATATAAATTTTAAATAAATAACTTAATGAAATAAATATAATATAAACTTTAAATAAATGAAATAAATATAATATGAACTTAAAAAGAAAAAAAAACATTTAATTTATTAATAAATAAATAAACGAACAAATATTAAACATACACTCCTATGCCCGTGTGTGTACATGTACATAAAATGTATACATACACGCACACACGGATAAACACCTAACATCCCATAATTAAGACAAAAACAAATAAATCCTTAATTATTAAATAAAAATAAGATATTAGATAAACGATAGCATATGATATATTGATCGGAATTAATTTTTTTCAATAAAATCAATAAAAATTCGGCTATTTTGATATATTTGTAAACAAAAGATAATTCTCGCTTTTAAAAATCTTGCAAAAATAAAATATATATTTCTTAAACGTTTTTTGAGATAAATTACCAAATTGAAAGTTAAATTAATATGACTTGAAACATATATTATTTACTTATAGAATAAAATGTTGTATACAAGCATTTCTTAACGAAGTGATCTTGTTTTATTGACGTGTTAGTCGATTTATTGACAGTCATTTGAACATGTTAATATTTAAGTATGGTGAACAGGTGACAAGGTTTATAAGAGGGATAACCCTTAAAGCACGTGGTAGATTTATCGGCTTTTACATCCATGCTTCAAAAATCTCTGCCCGTATAAATCGTAATTCTTTGAAAAATATTCGGGTACGTCAGATTATAATAAGATTACCATGTATGATTAATAAATATAGTTTTACTTAATAACAATATCTCCTCAAAGTTATCTGACTGAAACTGAATTTTAAAAGATTTTAAATTTTTATAAATGTAAAAATGAAAACAAATCTTGTAAAATTTCATTTTTCATCGAAAATTCTTTTCTTCAAACAATATTGTTTTTACTATATTTTATTCATGAAAGCAATTAAGAGATTCTCTAATTAATTAGTTTTATTGCGTTTTTTTTTTATTTGTCGATACAGAACAGATTTTCCATAAGTCGGGGTATCATTTTACCAAAAATATTATCTGATTTAAATTCTTCAAAGAATTCTACTTTTAACTAATATATATTTGTGAATAATTCTGAAAATATAATAATTATTAATGCCTGTCGACGCAAAAAAGTTTAAATTAGCTATGCTGAAAGTTAATACTACCGCTGACTTTTTAAAATTATATATATATATATATATATAAGTGAATATTGAAGTCAACACTTAGAGGCGACAGTCTGTTTCATGCTAGAAGCAATCGTCAAAATCCAAAGACAGTCTGGCTAAACATCCGATTGCTTCAAGCCGGGATCGAAACTCGACCGATATAGCATTAGACATTGACTCTACATTTAAGCTACCGACGCTTTTCTTATTTTCGCTTTTGCTTTTTTACCTTAAGCTTTCTCTTTCACTCTTTCTTCTTTCATTTTCGTTTTTCTTTCTTTCACTCCTGCGTCGTTCGCGCCACACTGTACTTTTTTTATATATATTTCTATGTAACTTACAGATAGCTCATATTTTCTCTCGTTTCTCTTTTCTTATACCATATTACTCTCACTATTATATCTTTATCTTTTCTTTTCTCTCTCATCTTCCTCTGTCCCTTTCTCTGACATTCTCTCTCGCTGTCGGTCTCGTTCTGTATCCTTTTACTTCTCACTCTTTCTTTTTTACCTGTCTCATTGTTCACTATTTTCTTTTCTCTTTTCTTTCACTTCCTCTTATTCATTTGCCTTTCGTTTCTCTTTCATTGGGATTTCTATTCTTTATCCTACTATGTCGGTTTTCTCGTTGTTCATTTTTTCCTCTAATATTCTTTCTCCTCAGACTTTCCACCTTTATGCATCTACCTTTTTTTTCCTTTTTTTCCTATTATTTTTGTTAATGATTTCACACACTCCCCAAATAAGCCAACAATGCCACTAAGGCTCAAGGCTTACAGGGTGTAAAAGAGAATGAAACAAAAACAAAAAAAAAAAATTATAAGGAAAAAGAACAAGTTTCACAAAGACAAGATGGCGATTGATATTGCATTTACATTTTTTAAAGTAGATACCAGAATGCAAAGAAAAAAATGGAAAATAGAAAAGAGCGGAAAAATAAATCGAATTCACGGTAACATTTTGTCATTTTAATATTAAATTATGAGATCTATTTACCAGGATATTAGTACTTTTGAAACCATGGTGTCGAGGTGCCATGGTTTAGAGCTCAGTACTCACGGTGGTTGGAAAGTGACTGAAGTCGAGATACCAGGGCAGGACTGATAAAATTGCAGACCCTTTGTTTGGGAATTTATCGAGAATCTTGAGATATATTGCAAGAGCACCAGAACAAATATAACAACAATATTCAATGTACGGAAGAATGGTAGATTTATAAATGTGCAAGATGTACTTTGTATATTTGTTTAGTACGACACAGAGAACCAATTTTCCTAGCAGCTAACGTAGCAATATAATCACTCAACCTCATATCAGTGGAAATGTGTGACAATGAAGGAGTACTAAATTGCTACAATGGAGGTTAGCATCGAGCACGAGGATGGAAGTCAATATGGTTGTCTTTGATGATTAAAAGTTGCCAATTATTTTTAAATTAGTCGTTTTTATCTTTCTACTACTCGTTTAGATTTTCTTTTCCTCTCTATTTTTTCGCATCCTGGGTATGACGATAAACTACATCCGGCAGCAAGGCCTCTGATTAGAAGGTTTTGAAGGAGCTTGGAACCAACTCTTAATTGCTGTTTTCCTAGATCCAACTCGGCCCGGTGTGGTGGCACCTGTTAGGGCCCCAGCTATGGGCAAATAGTTAACGCCAAACTGGGTTCAAAACACTATGAATGTGTAAAAATATTTTTATAGTAAAAATACCAGCAATACATTTTTGAAAAAAATAATACCAGCAATAATTTTTTTTTTTTTTCAAAAATATTACCAGAAACACATTTTTGAAGAAAAAATTGCTACCAGCAACGTATTTTTGAAGAAAAAATATTACTAGAAATACATTCTTTTAATATTGTCAGCAAAACATTTGCATTTGACTCCCAATAAAAAAAAAATTTATAAAAATACATCAATGAAACCTGATCTACAAAAAGACTTCTTAAAAAGAATACATATTATATTCATACGAACTTATCATAAAAATTTTGCCGGCATTAAATAACTCATTGAGGTTTATATTCCGTAAAACTACGGAAACCAAAGCAAAACAAACCAAATCTTTTTTCCTTCTTTTTCATTACCATTTTGTCTTCCTCGTCTTTTTTCTCTCTTTCCCTTCCTCTTTATATCCCCTCTTTCTCCTTTACTTGCTTCTCTTTAAAAATCCTATTTTCTTTTCTTTATCTCGGTTGTTGTTGTTGTTGTTGTTGTTGTTGTTATATATATATATATATATATATATATATATATATATATATATATATATAATATATATTGTATAACATTCTACGTCCCTCATGACCTTGAAATCACAGTTTGCTGACAAGGCCACTTTAGGCTAAAGACACCTACGGAGTACCCTCCTTAGGAAGCTATGAGACAACGGTGTGATAATTGGCAACTTTCATGGAAATACCTTTCAATAAAGTAATCATTTGTTGCTTGATGCCATTCATGTCTGTAAATCTTTTGTTTATAGCCCAAAACTACAGGGGTGGGGGACGATATGTCTGAGTAATAATGCAGATGACCCAATTTTGGTTATCGATTTCTTCCCCAGTAATTGGTAAAGTTCTAAAAAGCATTTTGTTTTTATTATTCCTAAATCATTCATTAGAATTTTCAGCACTGTTTTCCATAGTCCGATTTTTTTCTGCTATCAGTCGCACATTTGATCTTATAACTAAATGTACAAAAGTTTCTACGCTGCTCACATGTGCACCTTTAATCTGTTTCATTGTGTAGATTTATTCACTCATCCGCTTGTGCGTCATAAAAAACACTTGATTTTTAATACCATTGTGAAAGCCAGTTTTAAAAGGACCATCTTTTCGCCTAGCAAGTCTACCAATCGTCATGCAATATTTGACGTTATATCAGCTGCTATGGCTGACTTTCACTCATTTTTCCGCAAAGCTAACATGATCAGGTGTAACTTCCTCTACTGCTAGCCAAGAAATGACTCAGCTGCTATGCGTGTCAAGAAAGCGAAAACTAATAAGATGTCCGGATGTTTTTTGGGAGATCTTATTACTCGAGCGTCAAGCTGAGTTCATTTTCTCACTAGCATCTTTAATATTTCTTGCGTTTTCTTCCCTTCCTTCTCTCTCTCTCTCTCTCTCTCTCTCTCTCTCTTCCACTTTCACTCTTTTCCTCGCTTTCCTATTATTCATTACTACTTTCTCACTCTTCTTTTATATTTCCTTCATTACTTTCCTTGTGACTTATATTTTCCTCTCTCTCTTTTTCTCTTTTTCTTTCTGTCACTTTCTCTGTGTATATGCATATATATCCCTCTATCTCTATCTCTCTCCTTCTCTCTCCCTATATATATATATATATATATATATATATATATATATATATATATATATATATATATATATATATATATTAGGAGGAGGTGGAGTGGATAACGGTTCGGACGTGTTAATAATCTTTCGAGAGGTATTAATCCTCATGGGTAAATAGCAAAACAGACTGGGTTCTACAGCCTTGGATGTCAACTGGTCTAGGAGAAGGAGAATTCTGTATTCAAAACCTGCGGAGGGTCGTTTGGGGTCCTTGGAGCACAGTGCATTAGGTCTCTGTATTCGGCCCTTCAAAAAGTGTGGTTGGATCTGCACCACTATAATCAAATCATATGTGCTGGTGTCTGGCTGTCGGTTGCTAGCAACTGAGCTACTTGACACTCATACGTCGAATACGACGGGAGAGTCCATCATAAACACACACATACACTCACACATATTTATATATTGTATATATATATATATATATATATATATATATATATATATATGTACATATTTTATACAGTTATATTATTTTTTTAATTTTTTACTAATATTCACAAATACAAGGCCCAAGAGCCACTCAAGGTAAGAGTGAATGAACAGGAGTTAGAAGTTTAGAGCATAAGCAGATTTAGAAGGAACTTTAAACCCAATTCTAAACAGGAAACACGGGATAAACCTCTACACCTGTTCAAAAGAAAGGGGAGGAATGTTTAACCGGACGATAGGAAAACACGTCTTATTTTACTCGACCAGGGAAAAGTCTTTCGCCACTAGTTGTTTATCTCAGTGTCCACTTTTATCTTTACAAATTTTACTGATTTTGAATACATCTACCTATAAATATAGCATATATAAAACTATATTTAATTGCATATATGTATACACAATGCGATTGTAGCCTTTTCATATTTTTTTTAATTTCACGCATGCGCATTGTTTTTTTTTGGGGGGGGTTATCAACTGCATAGTATAGTAGAGTCAGTTGTGCACTGTATGTGAGAAAAAAAGAGCACCATGAAGCAATTCACTCCGTCAGAGATTTGAAAACGGTATTCTGCACCAAAAGCACCAGTACGAACACTTCAGAGTGTTTGGGTGTCAATTTGAGGACAGACCAGAGGAATTTAAAAGAGTTCGAAGAGTATAATGGTGATTACAAAGATACGGCAACTCGAAAAAATTCTATGATCGTTTTGAGAAGAAAAGAAATCCCGAAATGATTAGTGAGGACCTCAGGCTCAGACACGGAGGCCTACATCAATGCCTCGATGAGGTAGTACTGCCATGGGTCAAGAGAGTGGGTGCTGGAAGACCCTATGTCTGGCAACAGGACTCTGAACCATGTCACCCAAGCAGCAGTACCGAGTCATGGATGTCAGGCAATTTCTGCTACTACGTCACGCCTTACATCTGACCACCTAATCCACCAGATTGTAACATCCTTGATTATTATGTGTGGAGTGCAGTTGAGCGAAAGACCATTAAAATTGCTTGTAACACCAAAGATGAACTGAAGGCAATGATTATAGCAGCATTGACACACTTAAAGAAAGAGACCCTCCAAAAGAGTTGCAGGAAATTCCAAAGTCGTCTAAAAGGCATGGTTGAAACGAATGGCGATTTTATTGAATAAATTTACTTTTTAGGATTTCAAGATACTATTGTGTAATTGCCGTAAATATATCTGGGAAAATGACATATAGGTTGCGGTGGATAAATTGTCCTCTGAATTACGCAAAAATAAAAATAAATATATATATATATATATATATATATATATATATATATATATATATATATTCAGTTGTATTGATGTGAGTTTTCACACCAATACAACTAAGTATGTTAGCTGTATTGATGTTAGTTTTTATCACTAAAACAGAATAAATATATATATATATATATATATATATATATATATATATATATATATATATATATATATATATATATATATATATATATACTCTGGGTTTCACGCCCTTGTCTGACAATCGTTAGGCGTGAAAGCTAGGTAACAAACTCATATCAATCCAACAAAGTATATCAGCTCTATTACTGATATGATATTGATAAGCGCTTTGTATAATGTATAAGTAACATATAGAGAAAATATATATATATATATATATATATATATATATATATATATAAAATATATATATATATATATATATATATATATATATATATATAGATGTGTGTATTTTGTGTGTGTATATATATATATATATATCTTATACATATATTTATATATATATATATATATATATATTTATATATATGTTATCACAAATAGATATATATACATATATACTCATTTCTTTTTTAGTTTCCTCTACTTTCCCATTTCCAACCATATCCTCCCTTTCTCTCTATATCAGTCTATACCTTTCTTCTCTCTTTTCCCTTTACACTCTTCCTCTCCCTCCCTTTTTCTTTTCAATCTACTTTTCCTTATCTTATATTTTCTCTTTCTAGACCATCCAACTCTTTCTCTTATCTTCTCTATCCTTCCTTTTCTCTCTCTTCCGCTCTCTCTACCTTTTCTCTCTCTTCCACTCTATCTTTCCTTTTCTCTCTCTTCCACTCTCTCTACCTTTTCTCTCTCTTCCACTCTCTCTACCTTTTCTCTCTCTTCCGCTCTCTCTACCTTTTCTCTCTCTTCCACTCTCTCTACCTTTTCTCTCTCTTCCACTCTATCTTTCCTTTTCTATCTCTTCCACTCTCTACCTTTTCTCTCTCTCCACTCTCTCACCTTTCTCTCTCTTCCGCTCTCTCTACCTTTTCTCTCTCTCTCTCTCCCCTTTCTCTCTTCCGCTCTCTCTACCTTTTCTCTCTTCCCCTCTATCTTTCCTTTTCTCTCTCTTCCGCTCTCTCTACCTTTTCTCTCTCTTCCACTCTCTCTACCTTTTCTCTCTCTTCCACTCTCTCTACCTTTTCTCTCTCTTCCACTCTCTCTACCTTTTCTCTCTCTTCCACTCTCTCTACCTTTTCTCCTCTTATTCCGTTTCTCTCAATCTATTCTTTTCTCTCTTTTAACAACAAGTCCGCCTCTTGTCCTTCTCACCTCCACTTCTTCTTAAATTCGATATCGTTGTTTTAGTTTACTTCTTTAAATTATTATTATCGATTTCTCATTCACAGTTCTCAATCCTTTGTTTGCCCAATCGATTTTATGCAGTATTTATATCCCAAGTGCATCTTACTTTCTTGGACTGAGAGCATTTCTTTTTCGTCTTATTTTTTTTTTCTTCCAGTTTTTGAATTAAGTCAGATAGAAACAAAATATTACAAAGACGTAACAAAGTGAAATATTAAAATTCTATAATTAATTGACTTGCATCCACATCGCGCAAGGAATATTTCTAAAGATATAATTCCACCGAGTTTCATTTTTTTTTTTTCTAAATTTTTCTCTGCTGATATTTTAACACTGAGAAGCCATCCTGTCGGCCATTGTATGTTCACTTAGGTTTTATTATCTTTTCTTTGGGAATATACTTTTATACGCTGTTTTCTTTCTTTCAAAATTCTTTTCACACTATTATTTTTAGCGGCAGCGATTTAAGTATAAGTTTACCTGCTTAAATATAATTGTAAGTGCTTTTATTGTCAAACGTATGCATTATGAGTAGAGGCTGTCAAGAGTCACAATGGCGATAACAACGTATTGATATTATTTCCACGAATGGTTATCGAAATGTATTGACCCAAATATGCAAGTAAGTAAAATAAATGAACCGAGTTCAAGTTCCGTTCAAGTACCCACCCTCTTGAACGAGAGCAGCACTACCTCCTCAAGGCATTTGATGTAGGCCTCCGTGTTAAGTCTGAGGTACTTAATAATTAAGTTCGGTTAGCAAGGTCGAATTTATTGTATTTAAACTTCAATAATTAAATTTGGGAGTTTTTTCTTATCAGAACGACCAGAGTCAGTTTTCCGAGCTGTTGTAATTTTCGTAATCATCATTAAACTCATCCAACTCTTTCCGAATCCTCTGCATTTTCCTTAGATTGACAGCCAAACACTTTGAAATGTTCGTATTGGAGCCTCCAGCGCGAATGCCAAGCAGTACTGCATGCCCTTTACAAATTATGTCTTTGTGAAAAGTATCAACACCTTTACCCCCCCTGTGCAGGGCTAAGTAAGTCTTAGGCTGTAGGTAGTTTAAAAAATCCCTGAATTCAAATCCATCGAGAAGGCAACAGAAAAACACTACACTATCTTCCGAAGTAAGTAATTACAATTCAGACATTGTTTTATTTTTTTTTATTTTTTTAATAATTTTCATCCCATTTTTTGTCTTATCTGCGCCGTGTTCCTTAGGACGTAGGCGATCATAGACCTCCACACACTCCGGCTTCTTGTAGCTCTTAATATTGTTTTTTTTTTCTTTTTGTTATCTCTCCCAAACTTCGATCTACCATTCATTTATGTTTCACGTTGCTTTCCTCTGTCCCTTTTTCCATCAGTCTGACCCATCAGTATCAGGATTTCAGAGTCTTTATTTCTAATTACGTACCCCAGAAATTTCAACAGCATCTTCCTGATGGTAAATATAAGTTTCCTTTTTGTTTCCATTTTCTCAAAAAAAAACCTTCGTCGTTGCTCACGTGTTCGGTTCATGCTATTCTGAACATCTTTCTGTAGAACCACATTTCTGGCGCTTAAAGTCTCTTCTTCATCTTTGGGGAGATTGTACCATATCCTACCGAAAGGATGGTAAAGTTTTAGAATTTTTACATATCTTTAGGTATTATGATGCTGGAATGGATACTATACGCAATTCGCACAAATCCTCAAGGTATCAGGGTTGCACATAAGGGTTAACTTTGGCTAGTATTTGGCCACTGAATGAAGAAGTGTGTGACTTAAATCCTGCGTCCAATTTCGAGGTGGGAGAAACGTTTTGTAACACACGCTTTAATATAAACAACCGCCTCAGGCTGTCGGGGGCAGTCTTTCACACATTTCAAATTTACTGTAAGGTCCACGTTGATCAGGGCTCTAAGGCCAGCTTCAATTGGATATATATGTTTCAATATTGGAATGAGCAAAATGCTGATTAATAAAGATTTAAATTTCGTTTTATTTATTTAATCGACATCTCCCTTTCACACACCAGCTGATTTCTGGGTGGGGTCTTATCGAAGTGTATTTGATGCAATAGGCTTAATATGATATTGCGTCTATTTCCCGCGAATTGATGGATGTGTATTTAGCCCACTGCAATCGACAAGATATTGGTTTTACATCACAAGTAATTATGTAAGGATAGTTGCTCCAGTGGCGATAATATTGTTTTACTTTCCTCGCATAACCACTCAATAAAGTGTCATGGCTTGACACTGAACTGACATTGTGTCGAACACTCAGAAACCCATTGCAGGGAAAACTAATTGTGAAGCGCATTGATTCAAAATTCTAAATAGCTCGCTAAGTCTTTTTTCCCTGTCGACAAATCTCCCCAAAAACGTTAGAATGTCATTAAATGTTTCTATACAGGGAGTTTATAAGAAAAGCATATGCAGTTTAAAATTGGTTTTATAACTATACATTATTTTTTTCTTCGATGATCTGTGACCCTTCTAGACATTGCCGTTGATGGCTCTCCACAATCTATTTTCCTCTGTTGCTCTTAATAACCTTTAATCTTTTTGACATTTCTCCCAAACCATTCACTGAAGCTCGCCAGATAATTTATGCGTGGCTTTCCTCAGTCACTTTTAACTTCAATCTGTCCTGTGAGTTTCGAATTTCCAAGCCTTCCATCCTCATTAGCTACCCTAGAAATGTCAACTCCCTTCTTGATATTAAGTATAAGTGTCATTTTCGTTGCCATTGTCTCTAAAACTTCGTCGATATTTATATGTTCGGTACATGGTATTCTCAGCATTTTTTGCACAAACACATTTCTGTTGCTTCAAGTGCTTTCTTCATCTGTGAGAAGATTGCCCAGCGTTCCCTGTCATACAGAACGAATGATATTAATTAACAGTTCAGTACAATTTTCTTTATATCTAACGAAATTTTTCTTTTTCATAATACTTTGCTCAGCTTTTAGAAGGCATATTTCACTATCCCATGAGCCTTCAGTCCTCCGGCTTGCTCTTTATGTCCTCTGTTAAGACGCTTTACAATTTTTGCACCTCTTCGATTTCGATATTTCCAATTTCCTAACAACCATGTATCCAGTCTTTTTGCAATTTAGGCTTGGTCCTATATGGAAAAAAATGAAAAAGAAAGAAGAAAATGTCGGAAAGAATGAAAAGTCTTATGAAAAAAGAAAAAATGAAAAGAAGGAAAGACGGTTATATCAGAAAGAATGAAATCTATAGGTAAAAAAAAAGTAAGAAAAATAAATAAGTCAAAAGAATGAAAAGATATGTTAAAAAGAAAATAATTAAGAATAAAACTGCCAGTAGGCTATGAGAAAAAAATGAAAGAAAATAAAGAATGAATAAATTAAAAGATTGATAAGAAAGAAAGAAAGAAAGAAAGAAAGAAAGAAAGAAAGAAAGAAAGAAAGAAATCACAAACGAATCGTGCCTAATGAAGTCGTCATAAAAGAAGATCAACATTTCCCGGATGTCAACAAAGTCTGGTCTTTCTATGTTTGTTCAGATATCAGTAACGTTAATGACGCAGAGCAAAGCACGCATGCTCCGTCTACTCACACTTCCTCTCAATATGGCAGCCTGATTGAGGAACAAAGTGTAGAAGATTGAAGCAACACATGTATCAGTTCATTCGCATTTCTGTCCCAGATATCTAACGCCTGACTTTCGTATTCCGATAGATACACAAAGCGGAAGGTCGAATGTTTTTTCCCGATAATATTCACTGCAAATATTCATTATGTTGCAAGAATAGGAAAAGCCAGAACAAAATAGTAAACCGTATAACAAAAACAAAATGGAATTACAGGCAAATGTGTTGTAATCCGATCGGCCGTCTTTCTTTTGTTCAGACCAAAATTTAATCTAAAGATTTTATTTGCGTTTACTATTTTATCTGTTGTACTATTTGCAGATTCTCTGATATTCTTTTAATCTAAGCAAAGTACCTCATATCGCTGCAGAAATTACCTGACTTCGACTGATAATTTAAACCTTAACAAAAGCTAGACCAGACACGAAATAATTTACTCCTGCCATATCTTGGCTGGGTCTATTTAATCCACTCTTTTCAGCCTTGACAGAATTCAAAAGCGTCTACGCAACATTGTGGGTGATAATAGTTTTTCACCCGACAAACCCTTTCCCACAGATGAAACGTAACAAGCCTCTGGCTACTTTATCACATGGTAGGTTTTCAGACAAACTACATTCCTTAGTTTCACCAGTTCAGACTTTTCAGAAAAAAACAAAACAAAAACAAACATGTATAATGTGATAAATCATTCCCATTCCCTTCGTATTTTTAATCGAATTCACCCCATGCAAGGCAGTAAAGCCACTAAAACACAAAGATTTACAGGGGAGGGGAAGAATTAGGAACAGAAACATAAATCACGAACCGGAATAAGAAAGAATAATCAGGAGGACAGTAGATAGCGATTTACATTGCATTTACATTTACGCAGTTGGCTCGAAAGCATGGAGCCACAGGGGAGTTCCACAAGCGAGAAGCGAGAGAGAAGATACTGTTAGTATAGAATTTACGGTTACATCTAGCCAACTCAAATGTAAAATGAGTACTGCCCTTAAATTTTTAAAAAAATGGTGTAGGTATCACAGAGAAGAGCGATATTTATTCTGTTCTCTACAGAAATGTGGCACAAGGCCGAAAAGGGGATTGGGGAAAGAACGGTCTTCTTCTGTCTTAACTATAATTTACCTAGCCGCAAACACTGACCCAATCGTACGAACAATATTTTTTACACCAAAGCAACACATTCATACGTACCTTTCTTACTACAACCACCATAATACCTCTTTGTCTCTATGAAAATACTAATTAGTTCCCATATTTACAATTCATTGTCTGTGGTGGGAGGGGAATAAAAACAACAATTCTAAAAACTAGCTCCAATGAGTATTTACAATATAAATACAAAAACTATTTACAAGAAACTAAAGA